CACACACACACACACAACAACAACAACAACAACAACAACAACAACAACAACAACAACAACAACTACAACAACAAAAACCAACTACAAAACCCAGCGTACTCTACTCCAACGATCAAGACAGGAAAGATGTATTTCTGATTTTCCTTTGGTGCTATTGCTGTTGTGTTTAAAAATTTTTTAGTAACGGTGATTTTACACCCCCATTGACACAATTTAGATCATTTAGAAGGTAGGTGTCGACACTGCCTGTTTGCCAGGGTCAACCCAGACTGAGAAGGATACAGCATACGCGCCAAAAGACCAAGATACTCAATAAAGCCACGATATCGTGTATTATGTATGTACATGTAGAAATGTACATCCCTGTGTCACCTTTATTTCTCTCACGGATATACAGACTAACCTGCTCATACGACCGTATCATATATACATATAAGTATATCCATGACATAATATACAAACCGTAGTTTACCATCCCCCCCCCACCTTCTTTTTTTGCGATTTAGAATGAGACACTAGGCTTATAAGCTTAGGTGGGGGTGTGGGGGTGTGGGGAGGGGGGGGGGGAGGACAGTAAAAAATCAACTCGTACTTTTTCCATAGCAGGTTCTAGGTTCTTTTGACCCCCTTCCAAAAAAAAACCCAACAAAGAGAAACAAGAAACCAAAAAAAACCCAACCCAACAACCAACAACCCCCCCCCTAAAAAAAGCCAAACCAACAAACAACAAACAAAAAAGAGAAAAACATAACAACCGTATTCAAGATTTTGGTCTTAAAACGAATAGTTGAACGTGTGGAAGTAGTGCCGGTAAGGGGGGGGGGGGTCTGAGGATGGTTTGGAGAAGAGTACACTGTTAAACGAAACGAAAAAACAATTAACGGGAAAAAAAACCCATACCAAAAACAAAACAACAAAACCCCCCCCCCAAAAAAAAAAAACACAAAAAAACAAGCGAATATGATGTATTGATTTGAAATTTAAAATGTTCTTATTCAACAAAATGAACTGATTTAATTAAGAAAACGGCAACAAACAGTGGCACTTTGGCAGCTGTCGATGAATCAAAGTTCGGTCAGTAATACGTTTTTGATTGGCAAACAGCACAAACGGAAGTGTTTTACGACATTTTAAAATGTCATTAAGTAAAGACCCTTAGAAAAAGCGGCCCATTAGTGATTTTAAAATAATTTCATTATGAACAAAACACAGACGCAATATACGTGAAGATGTATTAAAAAGTAAATAACGTCTGCCCAAGCCGCGTGTTTCTTATGATTCACAATAGCTCATTTCGAAAAGAAAGTTAGATTAGTTCTTGGCATGAAGAAATTATGGTAGAAGCTATTCGGAGACGTCTCCAACGAGCAGCCAGGAACTATTCGGAGACGCAGTCCCGCATACAGATGCACTGCTTTGGGGGGAAAAGGG